CCCCCTCTTATGGAAACAAATACAACTTTCGGGGATTAGCTTCCCCCTCCGATGAATACAAAGGCTGCTTTCGGGGGCTCGGTTCCCTCTCCTATGAATACAAAGGTTGCTTTCTTAAAAAGTGGGATCGGTGACAAGTTGGAATCCGCTGAAGCGGAACAAGGAGCGTTTCCAGTGAACTCTTCTTTCGACTGCGGAGAGATTTGAAACCGGCGCATCACGCGTGTATGAGGAGCTTCTCCAACCTTCTTGGCTTGTAACCGACTGTAGTTGTTTCTAAAAGAAAGACAAAATAGAAGCTCTCACTAAAGATGCTTTCAGGATTATCACGGCACTACCAAGAATGACTATACTGGAAGGTCTATAGACTATACAGGTGAACATCATTGAAGAAGTTGCAAAGGAAGTGCAAGTAAGCCAGCGACTCAGACTCGAAATACAAAAATAGGAAGAGAACTCGCACAAGAAATAGGCTACCGTTTAATGGCGCGTTCACACTGGAAGCGGATCCGCAAACGCGAAGCGGATTCGCGCATTCTCAACCGCAAAGCGGCTGGAATCGAGCGATTGGAGCGCGTTTTGCCAACCGCTTCGGGACCGATTTGCCCCAAACGCTTTCGCGAACCCCGAAACGGCAACCAGTCGCAACGCGACGCTGACGTGACGTCAGTGACTTCCGAAACAAGATGGCACGTATCGCTGGTTCGTCCAAGGCGCTGTAGTCCTAGCGTTACGGCTGACAAATCAACGGAGAAACGTGATGACCAAGTTCTTCACTTCAATCCACCACGAAAATAATTGCCTCGTAATCTTGACGGGCTTCGCGCCGGTGATTTGGTCCGGGTAAGAGTTTATTTATTAATCCGGGTGCCACAGCCCGAACCTCGCTGCCTTGTTAGTCTCTGCCCGTGGAACGTCGAATTCCGCCCCTGATCGACCGAAATGTCAGCTTTTGTGGCCACTAAGACAGCCGCGTGAACTATTGAAAGCTTTCGACACCGTGCCTGACCACCACGAAGGCCGATAGAGACGTCGTCAGCTTGATTGCGTAGCCAACGCACTACCGCGGAGCGGGCAGGGCACATGCGCTAGCTCGACCTGTAACGTTTACTACTAATCAAACAAATAAACGGAACATACTCAAGAAATAAAGTGTACGTACCCGACAATGCAGTGGTAATCCGTACGGCGTCTATTTGAGCTTAATGTCAAACAAACCAAACAAACAGTAGACTCGATCGACGTGCGAGTGACGAGAGGAGAGTCCGCCACCAACGAAGCCACATCCGCCTAGCACCCGAACACATTCCCCGGCACCACGGTCCACCCCACGGCTCACAACTTCGGAAACGATAAGAGCGAACGAGGGGAAAAAACTGACCCTCTATCCCGAAAACAAGGTCAGCTATTCATGCGGGAAGAGTCCACTTCGAAGAAAAGGTCGGGGGCATCCTGTTCTGAATCGGCAAGGCGCGCCTAGCTGGGATTTGGTTGTGGGCAATGTCGATGGAATGACAGGCGAGTTTTCTGGGTCCATATGCCTCTTTTTTCGCTGCCTGAAGTCGTGATGCGTGCGAACTCTCGGGTCCATATCACATGAGCGAATGACGTTTTAGCGAACAGCGACATTTGAGCGAATTGACGTTTTAGCGAATAACGGGGGCGCGCGTTAACCCATCCGCCGCGCTGCGCTTTCGCCGCTTCGCGGCGACAGTCTGCGGCGGCTCATTAAAAAAATGTGAACCCATCTGGCCCACTCGAAAACGCCGCTTCGCGACGTCCGACTGTTCGCTAAAGTGTCATTCGGTGAAACGTGGGCGTTCGCTAAAACGTCATTCGATCGAGTGAGTGCCTCCCCGAACTCCCCGAGAAAAATCTTCAGAGTGCCAAAATAGCAAACTGTTGGCTTTGGATCGGGGATTAAAGCGGATTTTGGATTGTAAAACAGGGTTGCCAAACGCCAGTCTCAAAAGATCACGCGTGACCGCCGAGAAACCACCAACCGCGTCTCGACGTGTCTAAACGGGGTCGCTCGGGAACCGCATCCGCAACCGCTTCGTGAACGCGGATCCGCTTCCAGTGTGTATGCGCCATAAAGGAGGGGGCATCTGACTGCGTCCCCTTTTTTCTCACCTTGGGATGAAGAAGCGATCACAAACTGTGAACCAATACCGAGAAATTAGGGACCCAAACACTCCAAAAGAAAAGCAACTGCAGCAGACAAAAACACAACAAAGAAGTCGAAACTATGCAGGTGGACGACGAAAGCGTCATATATTACACGGACGCAGCCAAGAGAGCACACCTAGCCGCTATTGCTTTTTACGAGTCAAAAGGCGGTCGCAAAGAATGCAGACTGCCCCCCCCCCCCTCCCCCACACACACACACAAGGATGCAGCGTAAAATAAATCGAACCGAGGGCCATCAGAACTGCCGTCAAAGACGCACGTGAACGCCATAAAAATAAAAACATTCGGGTTTTTACACACACCACAGAAGCCGTACCTGAGTGTAAAAAGAGCAGCAGCCTAAGCAAGACGGTCAGCCGCATCAACCGAAGGGCAAGGGCACGAGAACCCCAAAAAATTGCAATACAATGGATTCCGGGGCACTGTGAAATACCGGCAATGTGGTGGCGCAGCAAATGGCTACAGAGCTGATACACTTAGACTCGCCTGCCCCGGGCCCGGTCGTCACGACCCCTCAAGTTAACGATCTAGCCCCAGTGGAAGCAAAGGCTCTAGAGAAAATTTTAAGGAAGCAAAAGCTAAAGAACCTCATCATTATAGACCAATATCCTATACCCTCCAGTTACAGCCGTTGGAGTAGGGTTGTATACACCGACTCCGCAGCGGCACTCCAGTGACTCCTGCGGCAAGGAAAAGAATAGACGGCAGGAGGAAACTGGGACCTCCATCAGACGAACAATGCCACGAATAGCAAGCCATGGCAGGAATGCATCACGTGTTCTGGGAATGCCCTAAACACCATCGGTACAGGAAGGATTATTTAAACGAATTTCCCACAGCGCAAAGACCATTGAACTATAGTCAGAATGGAGCACCTCAACTGTGGAAGCGGAGCTCCGCAAGGAAATCCGCGACTCCCTACTGGACTTCAAGTCAGCAGGTCTTTCCTCCCTTTTCTAAGTCACCATTAATGCCCTACATCATCCATCATCCCCCGACCCAAATGAATTAAGTCAAGAGAGCTTTGTGTAACTTTCTGTATTAAACATTTATTCTTCATCTCGGCAGCGCCTGCTTCACCTGCTGGGTATTCACACGAGGGAGAAATCCCGGGGATTTCTCCCCGGCACGCGCGCATCACGAGATAAAAACGCGAGGCTTTTGCACATCGCAAAGCCTGACGTTTTCGTCGTTGAATGCGCGTGCCGGGGAGAAATCCCCGGGATTTCTCCCTCGTGTGAATACCCCTTAAGAGACAATTGGTTGAGTGGACTTTCACACACCAGCTCGGTGCACGTGGAGAGAAAGCTCGCACTGCAGAACCCTTGAGAACCTGGGTTCAATCCCCATCCCTTCCCATTTCGATCTGTATGAGCATCGTACCGGCGCGCGGTCGTGTATCACTACTGCGTGGTGCACGTTAGAAACCCGAGGCTAGCGGTTTGTACTGCACTGGCTAATTTGCTCATCTACAGTGGGTTACAACTTACAATGTCGTCGCCTTCTGACAGTCTATAGACTCCTGCTGTATAAACAATTAACGACTATTCTTTTTTTTTTCTGCTTCACTGTCTCGGTGTCTGGTTAGACAAGAAGAGGTCAGCAATGGCGGCTGTAATCTGGCGTGTGTGCAAAGCGTCCATACACCAACACGCCGTGCTGACCTCACGCCGCTGCGGTGGTGCTGCTATTAACAGGGCGCATGCGCGGATGGCCTACTTGACGCGAGTGTGGTTCCTGCGCAGGTGCACGGCCCACACCTTGTACGGAAACTGCGCGTTTGCCCACACCTCGTCAGCGTCTGTTTGGAAACAGCACGTTGGCCTATAGACGATTGCAAGCAAGGCGACTGGCCACCGCCACGTCTCTGCTCATGCGGACAATCCCGTGCAATTGCAAGCTTGTTAAAGCTACGTTTTACGCGCCAGCCGCTAGTGTTTCACGCGTGGGGCACCAGTCGGCGTGCTATATGCTTGAAGTTGTCTTACACTTCGTACACGCGCAGCCGAAGCCCGACGACAGGCTGGAGGCGGAGCTTGTGGTTGAAAGCGTTCACTCTAGCTTCACATAAACGAGACATCAACAAGACTGCAAACGTTGCGCCATCTATGCAGGTGGCATCTTCAGTATAAACTGACGCAAATGAGGCGAGAGCCGGTCTCTCTACTTATAGCGAATATTCTTGGAAACGCCCGGGAAAGGGGGGGAGGGGGGGGGGGGGGCGCCTTTGGTATTGCACATCGATTAGTCCTGCTGATCGCAAGCTGGAGTCACACGGCTCGTACCGTACGACATCCAAAAGAAGACGGAGTTCGCTTCAGACATGACGACAGAATCACCTGCGTTTGAAGAACGTTTGCTTCCTACATATGCATGCTTCGAAGATGACTGCAGACAGTTCTCGTAGGACTAATCTGACAGAACCTTCCCACAAGACACGCCACAGACAGTGTCGACAGACTGTCTTATGAGTAATGTATTAGAAGTCGGACCAAGGCTTTATGGTGCAACAAAATATAGCCTCGATGAGCACAAAATCGTTGATTTCGAGTACAGAATTTACTGGACGCCATAGCAAAGCATATTGTTTGCAGTGCTCGTTCAAGGAAGTCTCAAACTTAGAGTTTCAAGTACAGAAATCTTGACGACGGGAAATGAACTTTCCAAAAGACGTCAGCCGGACGTCGGGACGGGCTGGAAGAAATGAATCCTCATCTATGGCCGGCGAGTGAAAATAATATCCCAATCATAATTTTTCAACCCGTATCATGTTGTTTCCTAAGAAAGCCCAAATTAAGCCCATGTTTTCATGGTAAATTGGAGCACCAAATGTGTCCAACGTAAATGTTTATTCACCCTGCATTTCTTTCTAACCGAATTCCAACAACAATGTTTAAAACAAAAATAATAGAATTAATAACCACATAAAATTGGCGAATGAGTCCGTCTATATTTCATGCAACACCGAAAACAATTACTGAATTTTCCATCATAGCAAGTGAAATGTTAAAGGCTCAACCAAGCCCAAGTAAGTTACCAAACATACATAATTAAAAACAAACAAAATATTTAAAAAAAACTATAAATTTTTACAGATATCCCAAATAAACAACGGACGACAAATACACAGCTAGTGAGTATCTCACACTTTTATATTAGCCAACATTCTCTGTTTTCAGCCAAATAAATTACTTCTACAGCAGCAACAATTTCCACAGCGGCTAACTGCATCATTCGGCCTTGCATATGGGAGGTTTGTGTTCGCCGAGCATGTTGCAAGCGAGTTGGAAGAGGTTCTTCACAGCTTGAGTTTCGGACAGTCTATTGTAGACGCCACCAATGACTACATACGGCACATGGGTCACATGAGGAATTTGTTTCTGAGTTCGCCTGCCCATCTCCAGCAATATCTGTTCGCCTTCCTTCGTGACGCAGTCAGTCACAAGCGACCACTCCAACGTCAAGTTAAGCTTGTCAGCGCAATTCTTGCCTTGGTTGTAAGGGTCGTAGAACACTGACATGCACGCAATCAGGGACAACCACGCTTGAGTCGTGTGGCAGTACTTAACGGCGCAGGCCTGGATTGTGTTGCCCTTGCATTCGTTTTGTCCGTGCTGGCAGGTGACCGAGTAGTAAGTCTGTTTACTCCGTAAGGTCTTTTCATTGATATTACCATTTCCGAAAGGCACAACTGTGACACTCAAATATTCCTGCAGTTTGGTGTACGTAGGATACAACTGCGTCGTGATGAAGGCCTTACTGTAGGGACACAGTGACTCGTAAAAGAGCGTGACGTTCACCTTGGGACGGACGATGTGGTCTTCGCAGGTTGTAGCGCTCACATCGACGGCGCCGTCGTTCACACACTCCGAATAGTTGAGCAAGAAGGTAGTCAGAGTTAAGCACAGACCAATGAACGCGTAGGTGCGCAGCTTCGGTGTCATGTTTCCTCGAAAACCCTTTGTCCAGCGAGCTAATGTCCGAAACCGAAAACGATGACTACAGCAGCGGCAGATTGGCGAGCCGCCGTAACTTCCTTGATCGCAGCTCGTATGAGTGACTTTTTAGCGAACACCTTTCGAGGCGAGCGTCCAGCGCTCGCCGTCACGTGAACGTTCCAGCTGGAGCCCTTTAAGGTCAGGCTGAATTAGCGAACGCGTATGTTGCTTCTGTTCTTGCGTCACTTATCGAAACATCTGTACCTTGTTCTTTCTTCGAGCCTAACATGTTTTTGTTTCGTTTTTCCCTTTTTCTTTTTATGCACTTTACTGGGCTGGTTACCCTTACGTTATCTTCGGACATGGACCATCTGTTTGGGGTCTCTTCTAAAGCCCTAATCACGCTGCTAACACAACATACAAAGGAGAGTTCGTATGCACACCGTCTGAGTTGTGTGTCTTACTTGTATGACTGTCATCTCACATTGATCATACCCAGAATGTTCTTTAGACATCTTCGAACATTGTACAAAACAAACGTGCTTGGGGCGCGTCAGCACATAACTTTGCTTTTACATCTGCAGCAGCGAACACCCGCGTGTTTCTTGTATGACGTACGAGAAGAGGGACCGCGTCACGCTGCGCCAAAGCCGCTGATACTCGTCTGTTTTTGAAAATGCCCTTTTCGGATGCTCCTTGCGTCGCACACCTCGGACGTAAAGGTCAGCAATTACCGAAGGACATTTAGATCACTCGGAATCGAATGATCATTCTTTCAGCTGGCACAGAAAAAAAATATGTAAAGTCGTAAATGGTTGAGCAGCGAGATGGCGACGCCGGTTCAATGCTGTAGAAATTAACTTAACCTGTGGAATATACGGCTGTGCATCGCGCAGCAGGGAAATAAAAACGGCCACTCGCCAGTACAATAAAACGCTTTGTTATGCGGGCAGAAACTGGGGGAGAGGAAGTGAAAGAGCGCGACAGGACCTCAGATCGTCGAGCTCTGGTTGGAATGATTAGGGTATAGACTCAAAGCTATTGGCGACGTGAGCAATCGAAAGCGTTGCTGTGATCGGTCTTCCACGATAGGCCGAATACTGACTATAACGTCAGCAAAGGATTTCCCATCGACGGAAATAAGAGGGATAAAAGAACTTCAATTTTGACGGTGTTGGCAGTGTTAGTTTGAGAGTGCCATGGTTTCAAGCTTCCACCATGTTCTTTACAAGCATCTTCAAACTTGTTGTTCACAAGGTAATGACGTCACAAAAGGTAACCATGAGAGGGCGCCACCAAAACATCTTGCAGCTAATAGTTACCTTTGTACTGTACCCTTGTCTTCACTGCACTCGTCGAAAGCGTTAGCATGCGGAACGCCGGCGGCCGGCGTTTGCCTTTCGCCTTCCAACCCGTTCAGCGAGTGCAAACGAGGGAAAGGCAGCTAACATTTGAACTACCCACTAATCTGTCCAATCAGAGCTCGGAGTTCTGACATCCAATCTCGTCTCCTCCTCCCTCTCACTTCCTCGGCGCAGAGTCACCGACATTTTAATGAGAAGCTAAAACACTTCTTGAAAACAAAAAAAAAGAGTTAGACGTGAATTCTGGCGAATTTTTATACCGTGAATGGGAATATCGCGTTCGTTTTCTCCGAAGATGTAACTAAGCACGAGAAAACGAGAAGAACCTCCGACCAGTCGTAACGTCCTTCGTGGTTTCTACTTTTGGCCTTCTTATCGGCTGATGTCGCAACCCCACTGGCCACACTATCGGCTAATGTTGCCATCCCATAAGCCACACTATGAACCTCTAAGATCGAAAACAGTCACCCCTGATCACGGGCTTTTCGCTGGCAAAGGTTTGCCGAGGTTCTCCGGAATCAGAGCCATATTTAGGGGAGAGTTTGGCAGGCTGGCGTGTCCTCGTTGACAGCTCGACAACTACGTCACTGACACGCCACGCGAACACCATGGCCACGCCCATTACGCCATCTTCGAGCCCAACCGACACCGAGGACCTATGCCCGTATGCTTGGCTCTCGGTTTCCCTTTTCTCCAACGTATGACTGTCTTATTTTTCTTTAAGTCATCCGCTAGCAGTATTTAGGCTGTGCCGCGTTTATTCAGTTTCCGGTTACCCTCGTCTCTTCTCCCTCCACACGCACCGTCAACAGCCGTTCATACGCTTCGCGAACGTTCGGCGCGTCGCGCAAATTACGCTCGCGTGAATTTCAGTTCCAGTTGATGCTTCTTGTTGTTTCAGCAGTGCGCAACAATAACAACTTGTAATTCGCAGCTGGGGCGCTTTCTTTACAGTGTATACGGAAATGCCCTCAATACCCGTGTTTTCGAAGAAAATTATTTGTTAGGTTGTAAGGTGAGCTAAAACCGTCTTCGAGAGTTTTCGAGAGTTTCGTTTCTTCCTTGTGGCTTTTCTTCTTGCGTCTTGGCTATGTGTCAGTGTGTCAAACGAGGTGGCTTAATCAACGCGATCGCTACTTCTGATATGGGATGGAAACGCTGTGCGTGCTTACCGCGTTCCTCCACCGAACTCTCACGGCAATGAAACAGCGATCTTGTTTTCCGAATATCTATACTTCGTCTCACCCTACGATGGACTAAAGGCAGAAGCTACGGACCGCCAGATCCAATCACGAGCCACTTAAAAGTTGCGTGGTATTTCGCTTCGGTGCGCGTATCGGCACCCGCGTCTCGAATCACTAATGCGGAGGGGCGGACGGTAGTTTCGATTGAATAGCACTGAGTGACTCAACAATTTTACATTGCAAGAAAGCTATGTCATACAGGCTCTTTGCAGTGTCCAAGCTATAAAAATGATGCAGCGCTTTTGAATTGGGAGGATCATTCGTCCACCCCTAACCAATGCTAAGCGTGTCATATTTTAGCTTGCAACGTGATTGGACCTTGCGTCCCGTGGCTTTGGCCTTTAGTCCATCGTAGGATGAGACGAAATATAGGAAGGCGGAAGGTTGCAAATAAACAAAGAAAATAAGTAAAGGTTGTGCGAGTTTGCTGTCATTAAAAACGACGCCGGCACTAACGTTTGTCCTAACAATAGAGCCGTCTATTTAGTAACCGTGAAGGTTACAAAATAAACATCGGGGGACTCAGTATTAGGCGGCTCTTCGCGAATGGTAAACTTGCTCGTTTTAATAGATTTAACTCAATTGATTGGCCGTTCCTAACGGCGCTGAGATCCCAGTATCCAACGTCATGTCAATGCATGACAATTAATGGAAGATAGGAAGACAACAAAACTAGCTTCTTCATTCAAAAAATAGCATTTATCATAGGGCATTAAATAATAAATTCATTCATTTCGTGGTTTGGAGCAGGCAGGAGAAAACGCTTGTGCCGCAATTATCTACATTATATGCGAGCCTTGCGTAGCAACTAGTTTGCTAGTGTGCGTCGCTACTGCGACGAAATTTTTATTTTATAATAAGTTTCAAGATGAAACGAGCATTATTACCTCACAAAGACCGGAGCCTTCCGTGGGCGTCCACATTTCTACAATAGGGCCAGCTTGAACTTAGGAGACGAAAAAACTTGAAAAACAAAAATATAAGACCAAGCTGGCCCTATCCTAGTAATGCACGAACTAGCTCAACTCAAGCCCATCCACATTTGTCGCGATTGATTTTATTCAACCATATTCTGCGATTTTTCTTTTCTCTTTTACAATCATAAAAAATGAAAGATGTTTAAATCCTCTGTAATGCCGAATTAGAGCGCAGCTCTTGAGGGGGGGGAGGGGAAGGTACGTAGGGGAGGGTCACGTGTGACGTCACGAGACGTCAGACGTGGCGTCACGTGTGACGTTACGAGGGGAAAATTTTCCTTTAAATTCAACGAAAAAATTTACCGCCAAGATTAGTGGAAAATTTTGCCCTCGCGACGTCACACGTCACGTCACGTGTGACGTCATTATAGAAAACGTCCCATAATGCAACGCGCAATTACGCCGACAGCGACGCCGACGGCGACGCTGCTCAGGCCGAAAGCGGGCGCCTAAGAGCTGCGCTCTAAAAACGAAAACCATGACGGCTGTGATTGGAACATCCAACCGCACAACAACCTTCTTTTTAGTTCAAAACAGTGCAACTTCCATGAGGTCATCGCACGAGTGGAAAGAAAACATACATATGCATTAGAAAAAGCAAACAGTTAAAGATGTACACACCCTATAGAACAAAACTAAGAAAGCCGTGAAAACTGGAATATATTTTAAAAAGAATACAAAAAGATCACATACACTTCACTAGCAGACTTACTTACCAACGAACCTACTGTATTTCTAATACAAATATTTTCAATTCTGTTCAACTTGACAGAACCGAACAGATTTGTTTGGTTCAGTCACACAATTGCTCCAAGACGGCGTTGCCGTCTTGGAGCAATTAAATTGTTTTGTCGTTTTTTTTTATTTTAGAAAACATTTGAGATTTTTTTTTTACATATTGGGGAGTAACATATAAACATAAGAAGAAAAACAATTAAAGAGATATACAAATCTCTCTAATGAGAAATAGAGCGCAGCTCATGAGGGGGAGGAAAAAAGGATGTACCCTTCCTTCTCCTCCGCACCCTCTCCTCCTCCTCTGCTGCTCGTCCTCCTCTCCTTTCCTCCTCGCCCTCTCCCCTCCCCCTCTTTCTCTCCCCAACTCCTCCTCCTCATCCTTCTTCCCCTCCCCTCCACCTCCGTTGTACCTACCCCTCCTCCTCCTTCCCATGTGACGTCAATTTCCTCGCTAAATCTAGCGGAGAAACTGAACTTGTTCATAGGTGATTTGACGCCAAGTTATGTGACGTCATTTTCCTTGCTTAAACTTTACGGGCAATTGAATTAGCGTTGAAGTCACGTGACGTCAATTTTCCCGGTAAATTTAGCGCGGTAACGCCGCCGCCCACGGCGACACCGCACAACCTGGAAACGGGTGCCTAAGAGCTCGGCTCTAAAACAAAAATGCAAACCAGACTCGCGTGTTCCACCATTTGTAGGTGTGAATATATTTAAGTATTTTATTTTAGCACGCTAGAATTTAAATTTGCGACTCTACGTAACCGAAAGGACAACGCACGTGA